CATTTGTGATCCGCAGAACTGTGTCTTTTATCCCGCTACATACTTGTGCAGTTGATTGTTCCTTTGGATGTGTAAAACCTTCTGTTTCTCTTTGTTTGGTGGCATTTCAGTTGCTCCAGTCTGCCAGGATCCCTCTGAATTATAACGTTGTACTCCAACATAGTTGGAGCCTCTTCCTATAAATACAGTCTCCAAATATAAGTGTACTCTGTTCAGTCATCGATGATGTTGATGAAGGTCCTGGATAGTTCCGGATCCAAGATGGATCTAAGTGAAACCCTATTCAGTGTATCCTTTCAGCTTTGGAGTATTAATTATTTCCAAATAATTTTGTATTTATATTGCCTAAACTGTTCATTTGGAGTTTTTTTGTTAAGAGCATATTATAAGAAACTTTTATGATCCTCAGTCTTTCTCCGCCATCCGCAAAGCCTGTTAAAACCTTTTGAGTTAGTAGAAATTCACTTGATCAGTTTGTATATTATATCAGTTTGGTATTTCCTTCTCTTCTTTGAGAGAGATGCAATCCCTTTTGGGTTTTCTGGAACCTCATTCTGTTGATTTTTGGAAATCATCAGTAGCAATTTTAACATAGTTTGAACCATAAGGGAGCTTCATCAGGTCCAGTCTGTCCAAAAATCTTTAACTTTTCAATGTATTTTCCAGTTTATTTGTTCCTTTTTCTGGCCTTAGATGGTGGTGGTAGAGTGAAATCACATTTGCCTTCTAAAATTGAAGGCTGAGGTTGAAAGTATCAGCATCACCAGTGATGAAGACTTACCCCTCTGTGGAATAACACAATTTTTTTCCTTAGTATTCTTACTGTGCATCTTACCAACAGGCTTGCTATCTTTAAAATCCAATTTTCTAACTTTCTGGGAGCTTATCTTTCAGGTTTTGTCCATACATAGTCTATTATATTTATTAATAATTTAGTAATTTGACCTACTTTCTATTTTATTTCAGGTCACTGAAGATCTCATGATTCATCCAACTTAATCTTTATCTCACTTCCTTCCCCACCTCTGTATAGATCAAATTTTGCAGTTTTGCCTTTCAGCAGTAGTTCTGTGATGAATTTCCAGCTGTCCTGAACTCACAGTTCACCTACTGGTTCTCTAGGTTTAAGCCTCCATGTAATTCCTCCTTCTTTTTATAACAATGGAAATTGATTTTAAAGGGTCAGATTAATTTGTACTTTTGATTTCTTCTCTTTATAGCTAATGAGAATTTCAAGTAAGGAATTTCTTCTATGCATTTTTCCTTTGTGCAGAGATTCCTGCTATGTGTGCTTAGGTATGATCCAGTCCCACCTGAGGGAGATGCAGAGATTCAGGTTCCCATGGCAGTTTTTGTAGGATGGTAACTCCTGCTAGCTGATGCTTCACCTAACATTCCATGAGCACCATGAGTGCTCTCCTTTTCACATCTCCTGGAGCAAAACAACTGCCTTTTTCCAAACATACTCATTGTAGATTACAGGAGTGTGCCAGTGGGGAATAAACACCACTCTCACTAGAAAGGGCCAAAAAAGGTTCAGGTTGGACATCAGGAAAATTTTCTTCATGGAAAGGGTTGTTAAGCATTGTTAACTGTTGGAACAGGCTGCCCAGGGAGGGGGTAGAGACACCATCCCTGGAAGTGTTCCAAGAAATAACTGGATGTGGCATATAGTGCTGTTGTTTAGTTGACAAGGTGGTGTTTGGTCCAAGGTTGCACTCAATGGTATTGGTGGTCTGTTCCAACTTAAATAATTTTGTAATTTAGAGATTCAGGGAAAGAAATTTGGGATCTGATTCTGAATTATCACTGCATCTTCTGTTATATCCCGCTGGATTTGTAAATATTAGGAAAATTGTGCCTTTGATATAAAAAAAAATCATATGGAAACAAGGAGTGCAAATTATTGGGGCTTTTTAAAAAGAAATACCAAATATTATAGTTTCCCATGAAACTTACTGTATAAAGCTCAGTTTTATTTGATGTATGGACACAACACCATAAAGCATGTTACCAGACTCATACTAAAATGAGTTTGTTGTAAACAGTTCCTTTTCAGATGTTAGCACATATATGAACTGAGAATGATCTGAAATGCTTTTAGAATAATGTTATTGGCAATGGAATATATACATACTACAGACTTTACAGACTACTGCAGAAATGTGTTATGAAATCAATGTGCAAGTCAAAAATGCATTTAAGAATAATTTCAGGAATTATTCTGAGTCCTTTTGCCACTGCTTATGGTTTTATGGCAAGAATTTTCTGTTGATTCATAAAGACTGTCCCTGAACACCACCTGAAAGGCACATAGACAAAAACTAAGACACTGTGAAACTGAGGCCCTGGCCCTAGGGTGGATTTACTCTTCAGGTCTGGTGGCTTCATTAGCATTTTACATCACTAGGAGACTGGTAAGCCATCACACTAAGGCATTGCTAGACATCAGGAAAATTATCTCTAAAGTGTTAATTATACACAAGGTGCAGTTAAAACAAGAAATTTCTGTTATGTGCTGGTGATTTGAATGCCATTTATGTACTATTAGAATATATTCCAAGAAGGTGGAGCTGGAGTACAGTTAGGACACATAACAAAGTGACTCAAAGAGCAAGAGCAAGACATTTAAATAGAAGTGAGCATTATGAACTTCCTGTCTGGAAACAACTGAATGAAATTTAGATATTATCTAGAAGTTAGATTTTTTTTTTTTAATGCACATTGTGCCAGTAAAATGGTTAAAAATGGTCTGGGTTTTCACTGGTTGGAGAAAACAAACACAGTCACAGGAAGGCAGATTTAAAGGCCATAGGACATCTAGTACATAAGAATGAAAATATGTTTCAAGAAAAATCAACAGTAACTATTTTTGTGTGAGAGATCCTTTTCTTCCCAGACGGCAGAAGTGCATGATGTCTGAGACAAATACTGTGAGATGGTATCTCTCCTGGAATTAATGGTCCCCAAGATTGTGTTTAAGAACAATTCCTGACAGACTAGTGCTTCAAGTCCTGGTGAATCTCAGTCTGATCTGATCTGCTTCACTTTACATACTGCACCTGGAGACCTCATCAAGCCTGAATGAGCCAAACCCATGTGTTCCATATTTCAACAATAATGCTCTTAGCAACAGTGCTCAAGTTCACTGATGACACAAAGCTGTGAGGAGTGGCTGATACCTGCTGGGAAGCAGCTCTGTGGAGAAGGACCTGAGGGTCCTGGTGGACAACGAGCTGTCCATGAGCCAGCAGGGAGCCCTGGTGGCCAGGAAGGCCAGTGGTATCCTGGGTACATTAGGAACAGCATTGCCAGCTGATCCAGGGAGGTGATCTTGCCCCTCTACTCAGCCCTGGTGAGGCCACGTCGAGGGTGCTGTGTCCAGTTCACAATACAAGAGGGGCATGGAGCTCCTGGAGTGGGTCCAGTGGAGGGCAACAAAGATGATTAAGGGGCTGGAGCATCTCTGCTGTGACAAAAGGCTGAGGGAGCCAGGCCTGTTCAGCCTTGAGAAGAGGTGAGAGATGACAGAGGGGACTTTAAAGTGTTTGTAAGTACCTGAAGGGAGGGTCTCAAGAGGATGGAGCCAGGCTCTTGTCAGTGATGGCAAGCTATAGGTCAAGATGCAACAGGCAGAAACTGAGGCACAGGAAGTTCCACTTGAATGTGAGGAAGACCTTCTTTACTGTACAGGTGACCATGGACTGGAACAGATTTCCCAGAGGAGTTGTGGAACCTCCCTCAATTGAGATATTCTAGAACTGTCTAGATGCAATCCTGTGCCATGTCCTCTGGCACAGAGGTTGGACCAGATGACCCAATGTAGTCCAACCTGAGCCAGTCTGCTTTGCACTTCAACAGTTTAATTCACTAATGTTGTTGAAAAGCATTTGGTGAACTTGGTAAAAGGAAAACTACTTTGAAAAGAAGTATCTTTTCAAGGTAAATTTAAAAAAATTAAAGCTAATTATGCTGCTAGGTAGGATCTAACAGCAGAAGAAACTTTTGTAAAGAACAAAGGTTTTTCACAGTGCTGGGAAAATCCAGTGCCACACTGTATCACTAAAACATGAATGCACAGCAGGATGAGCTTAAAGCCAACCTTTATCCACAAAAAGCAAGATAACTTGGGTTTTCTGTAATCTTCTATTTCGACTAGTTTCTACAGTCTTCGTTTCATCTTGGAGACCATGGATAGTCCCAGTCTCTGTTTGCAGCAGAGTAGAACAAGAGCATGTCTGTCTCAGCCCCCCTCTTCCTGGCCGTGCTGGGCCACCAGCAGTGACAAAGGCACGCAGCAGTGTCTGGCCCTTTACCCAGGCCATGAGGAAGGGTGAGCAGCAGGAGCTCTCTTGGTACCACAGCTCTTCCCCGAGCTCTGCCATCCCCGGTATCTCAAGGATAGATAGAGAAGCTGGAGCCTGGAGAGAGATGTTGGCTGTGGATGTTGTCAGTAGTTTTGCTAATCACTGCAAGGCACTTTTACGACTCTAGTCAACAGTAAGGGCTTAAATGTAGCCAAGTTTGCTGCAATAAAATAAACAGTTTTGACACAGGAGGGAACAAAATAAACTTGAGCACAGTACAGTGCAGCCACCCAGGAGTTTTTCTGGTTTAATTTCCCAGAGTTTCTGCAGTCTGGCAGCCTGGAGATCAAAATGCATAAAATAAAGGATAACATTAAATAAAATATCTTATGGAGATCATATAAGATTTCATCACAGAAGACACTTTGAAGAAGTAATGTCTACAAACGTTTCCATGGCGTGAAGACCTTGGAATACGCAATATATTTAATACCTGCGTGTGCATTAACAGTGCACAGCCTACATACATGGACTCACACGTACATACGTAACTCATAGGTGAAAACTAAAGTAAGAGATACATAGCCCAAGTGCGGGCTGCACGTCGGGCGAGCGGTCGGAGGGTGGAGTGAGAGGGACGGGCTGGGCGGCTCGGCTCTGGCTCTGGCTCTCCGCGCCGGGCGGGCGGGCAGCCCGGCACTTTCCTTTTCGGCGCGGGGAGGAGCGGCAGCTGCGCAGGCGTTGCTCGCACCCTGTTGATTAGTCAGTGCTGGGATGGCGCTTCCTGGGCCAGGCGCGGCGGCTGCGGCGGGCGGCCCCAGCCGGTCCCGGGGGGCGGCGGGAGCAGCAGCAGCCGCAGAGGCAGCAGCAGCCGCCGCAGCAGCAGCAGCGGGCGCCCGGCGGGCCTCCCTCTCTGCCTAGCCCCGCGCGTCCCGGGCGCCTGGCGCGGAGCGAGCCGCGCTCCCTCCCTCCCTCTCTCCCTCCCGCCGCCCCCTCCGCCGCCCGCCCCGCTGGCAGCCGCCCCGCCGGGTGGGAGCGCCCCGCCGGCGCTGCCTGTCTGGCTGCTCCCTCCCCTCCCGGGCCGGGAAGATGGACCCCGGCCCGCCGCTGGGCTGCAACCTCAAGGACGTGAAGTGGAGCGCGGTGGCCGTGCCCCTGGACCTGCTCGTCAGCACCTACCGGCTGCCCCAGATCGCCCGGCTGGACAGCGGTGCGTGGGGCGGGGAGCGGGGCCGGGCGGGCGCCGGGCTGCGGGCGGGCTGCCGGACACGGTCCCGGGAGCGCCCCGTGCCTCCCGCGGCTCCTGGGAGCGCTCTCCCGGCCGTCCGCGAACTGGCATCCGCTGCTGCCGGGGCTCGCTGTGAGGCTCTGCTCGCCGCGGAGCCCGCGCGTTGCTTTGCACCAAAATAGCTGGGTAATGTGTCCCTGTGCCCCCCTCCGCGTGTGCGGAGGGCAGCTTGGTGGAGCGTGTTTGCTGTCAGCAGCCTGCCCTACTGAGAGAGGTCCTCGTAGTCCCAAATTAAGCGTGGAAGGGCATTTTCAGCACTAGAGGCTCGGTGTTTTGATGAAGTGATGCTACAGCAAGGCCAAATGAGAAGGGATACAAAATAGCCAAGTGGGCTAAATCCCTTGTGTTACAATTCCCTAAGAAGGCCACGGACCTGTAAAAAAAAAAAAAAAAAAAAAATTAGTAACATAAGAAGCCTTTGCAGTCTCCAGATAACTTTTTATTACAGTTCGCTTGGGTGCTCACCTGCCGTTTCTGAGTGTGCAGCTTTTTGTTTACTCCAGGAAATATGAATCAGGTCTGACAGCTATGACAGCACCATTTTACTGTTCCTAGATCCATGTCTTGAAAAGTAATGTGTCGGCACAGACACATTAAAATACGGGATTTTTTTTATAAAGGCTCGGACAGCTGCTTTGTAATGATGTGTATGTGCATTGCATGATAGCTCCATGAAAACTGTCCAGCTCTCTAAAGGAATGCAGAAGATTACTCACAAATTGGATAAAAATTCTAGGCTTTTTAATTCATTAGCTTATGAAGTCATGTACTTTTACGATGTAATACAGCAGTTCTTGATTTATCAAGTTTTGTATTGATTTGAAAAGTTAAAAATGAGCACAGAGGCATCATCCTCTGTTACTTCCCAGTGTACAGGTCAAGACCAAGACTGTTTTATTACTTAACTGCAGTTTTCATAATGCAGGGATGATTTTTGACTTTGCCCCTGGATTATGCAGTATTTTTCTTTTCACTCGTAGTACTTCCTCAGAGCTGGCACTCAGAAGCAGATTAAAGAAGGGGCGTTTTTTGCTTTTTTAACTGCATCTGCCTGATCATCATACTGTTAAATATATGTTGTCCTGTGAGAATGGCAAAGCTGGTATGTTAAGGAGTTCCTCGTGGTAGTACCTTCTGTCACTAGGAGCAGCTAAGATGGCCTCCAGTCACTGTACTTAAGGCTGTTAATTTACTTGAGGCTCCTGGCACTGATTCAGGCTTTAACAGGATGGATATATTGATGACTTATTAATTTCCCTCTCTGTGTGTTACACCTCCAAATCTCCCCACTCCTCTTGTCTTTCTTCATTGGAAGGTCCATGAAAAAGCTTTGTGGGTAGAGAAAGCTTAAGGGTTTTGAAGCAAGTGGCTGTTGGGGTTTTTCTGGGGAGGGTCCTTGTGTTGGAGCTGTTGATGGGAATATCCCATAATTGTTGGGGAGACAAAGATGTTGTGGCTTTTGTGCAAAGGCTTCTTTGTCCCATGTGCCACATTTAAGAGCATATGCACAGGCAAGTGGATGTAAACAGACCTGAGCTCTTCTGCCGTGCCCTGAGATGGCCAGACAGGAGGCAGCTGTTGGTGTAGGTGTCCTGCAGTAGTGGTTCAACCCCGCACTGCCAGGAGGCAGGCTCAGGTGGGGCTCTGTGTGAAGGGTTTTGGGTTGGAGCTGATTTAGGTCTGCCCAGTTTGGTGGCTCGTGGGTCTGGTTTTACCTTCTCAAATGCATGCACTTTTAACTTCGGCCACTTACAGACAGCAGACAAATCAATATTTTATAAAAACGCAGACGCCATGGTCTTTGGGATAGGAAGAAAATGCTTTTCCTTTTTCCAGAGAAGCTTGTCTTGCAATAAGAGAAAGCAACCATGAATCAGTGGATAGCCTTCTAAAGTAGGAAAGTTGGGAATGTGCAATGCTTGTGGAATTGACTGGAGCATGGGCTGTTGTGGGGTGGTTGCTCTGCATCCCGGGTCTTGTCTTGCAAGGTTAACAAGTGGAGCTCTGTCGGAAAATTTCTTGATGCAGCGCTGAAGAAAATAAATGCAGAGTCCAATCCAAATGTGTGTCATCCAGTGCTTAGGAAGTTTAAGGCTACCTCTGTTAGCAAGGTAGTGTGCCAGTTTTATCAGGGTGTGGCTCTTGTCTTTCTGTCAGGGTTTGTTTGCTCAGAAATGCCCTTATGTCGTCTTCAGGTGCTGAATTCCTCTCCAGGTCAGGGGAAGCTGCATATGTTTCATGCTGTTGGATATTGAACCACCTGTAGATGTCTGTCTTCAGTCACCTTTTGATTCTGTGGTTGGCCTCTGTCTGTAGCAGCAAGTTGTTTCTTGGCTGTTGTTTCATTTTTCATGAAGTTTTGTGAAAGCCAGAATTTGTTTCTTCTGGCAGACTAGGATATAGGAGAGGATTGTAAAGCTGGAGTTGTATTCTCTTCAGACGATGTCAGTCTTACGGTGTTGTTTCTACATTTCTTAATAGAGTTCAGCACTTGGTGGATAATATTCTTAGATGACACCCATACAAGATGTCCAGTTTTGCACTGTGCTTCACCTTCTGGCCTCTCAGTATAAAGTGGAAAATGGATATGATCAGTTTTATTCTTTGAGCTTGGATGTGCAGCTCCTGGAAAATTGCCCTTAAGTAATTCAGTTTGATTTCTTGACAGGATGAAGTTATGAAATATTTATGTGCACTAAATTTGGTCCTCTGCTGAGAAGGGAGGGTTTTTCTTGATGGTATGGGAGGAAGTAGTCTTTTGTTACATCAAGATATAGTTGGAAGTAGGCATTCATGCCTACCTTATCCATCTAGAAATGATAAATATGTCAACTTCTGGGTTGTTGTTTTGTTTTTTTTTCAGAGTTTGAAAACCTGAAAAATTTTTCAAGTTTTTATTTTTCATTTTAAGACTGGTTGTGTTTCAGGTTATGCTTTTGGACACTGTTAAGTCATAAATCAAATTCTGATTGTTTCAATGTGTTCATGTGTTTTATTGTTTTCCTGGTGAACATTGTTATATTGATTGAACAAATAGACTGAAAAAATCCCAAACCTGTCACTTTTGAAGGGAGCAAATGGGTTATGTATGTTTATTTCCCAACCTCCTTAACAACTTAAATATTTCTAGATCATAACTCAAATACAAAACTGCTAAAAAAGTGCTGAACACCCTACCAGAGAAAATACATGGACTTGATCTCACACTGTGGAATTCACTGAGTGGGCTCTTTCAGATGAAAAGAAGCAAGACTCGAAGAACAAGAGGGGAACGAGCTTTGTGCTGTGTTTTTCCTGTCCTCCCCCCTTATTGCCCCTGGTCCCGATTTGCATTGTCACAGCTGAATACCACCCCAGTGAGAGACTTGTGGGTGGGTGCAGTGGGGGAAAGATTTTGCTCTGGGAACCCGCGGCAGAAAGAGATCTTATCGCAGTGTGGTTTTTGCAACGGGGCAAAAGGTGAGCATGGCTGGCCTGTGAGAGCCAGGGCTGCACGTGAGGCTGGGCTTGGCTGTCCTCGGACCATCAGGAGAAAAAGCTGATGGCGAAGCTGTGACTGTGCCTTGTTGCTAGTGAGGAAATGGTGTTTTGCGTGGTGATCTCAGGGCTTTACGTTTCTGGTAATTATTTTTCTAAGGATAATTTTGGAGGGTAAAAGAGAAATGCCGTCAAGGTTAAGATCTGGAAAATACTACTTTGCATAGAGCTGAGCTTTAGGTCAAGCTTTTTTTTGTAAGCTTACACTCCCTTCAGACTCTTAAGAGCCTGTAATTCTTTTTCTTAGTGAAACTCCCTTTTTCCCAGACAGTCTTGATGTGTTTTCACAAGTAAAGATCAGCCTTTTTACCCACATATTGGATATGAACTGGAAGAGTTCACAGGAATTCCCAGTTTGTGTGCAAAGATTCAGGTTTATGTGATTAAAAGGCTGTCTGGTCTTTTTTTTTTTGATGTCTAGGAAAAAAAATATGGTGGTGCTGTTGGGATCAAATATAATGGCACTTGACCTCAACTCACAGAATAGTGATTCCCTACTGTGCATGGCAGGGAAAACATGCTGAACTTTCCTGTAGAGGAGATGATGGATCTCAATGAGCCACCAAGGCAGTGAAGGAAATTCTTCCTTATGCATTGTAAATGTACTGTAAGATGAAATGGCAGAATTGCTGGCTATGAAGAAGGGAGAAATCTGTAAATGGGTAACAGATTTAAAAGGGGATTTTCTTCTTTCTTACCCTTAGGTGAACTCTTGTGCATATCAGTAGTAGGTGAATAATGGAATTGTACTGCTGTTGCTTCTGGGGACAAATGGATTTTATTTAGTTTCATTTCAGGTTCTCTTTTTCTCTTCCATTTCAAAACTTTCTCGTGGTGACAACTGTCTGCCTCAGTCGTGTTCAGGGGACTATTGTTCTATTCAGCACGTTACTGTAGAGCTGATTCCAGTGCTGGAAACTAAGCACCCTCACATCTTATCAAAGATCATACTCAATAGAACAGCGTGGCCATGTACATAATGAAAATTTTGCATTGCGTCACTCCTCAAATGCGGGTTATCTGTGCAGCTGAACAATACTTTGAAACTACAAAGAGGCTTATTCTTTAAAGGTCTGAATGCTGCTATCCATGCTTTAATTGTCTGGAATGACCTCTTCCTGTTGAGAAGCTAGTGCAGCATGTCTCAGTAGTCTGCTAAATCTTTAAAAGGCATCGTGTGGGAGTAGGGCAAAGCTTTTCAACAGACCAAGAAAGAGGTTTCAGATATGCTCAGACCCTTCCTAATGGCCGTGATCTGATTGCCAACTGTAGGCTGCCTTGTCCAGTGAGGTGTGTGGTAGGTGATAGTTCTTATATATGGGGCAGTCAAGACAAATGTTTCATTTGACAGCAAATATCCTCAAGATACGTTGTATCCACATGGC